AATACACATAAATAATAATTACCATGACTTAGGACATTATACATTTAGTGTATTATTAAAAAATTTGAAATATTAAGTATTGGAATATTAGATTATTAGATAATTACCTCAACATACGCAAATAGAGCATCAACAGAACAAACAACGATGTCACCATCATCAAGTCCTTGTAGTTCAGTCTTCACAATGATTGAGCTACTTGAAACCAATTTGGTATCCTTAAACTTACTCGCGGCCAGCCTTGTTGTAGAGTGTAGATTACAAACGGTAAATTATAATATTGTGTTTGGAAATACAATTAACAATTAAATATGGTATATTAGATAAATTTGGTAATATTTATATAACAAATAATTTATACCTTCTCCGAAAATCTTCAATTTCGGGAATATCCACACCAATGATCATGGTCACATCCTTTGACGTGCTTATTTGAACATCACCTAATGCACAAAATATTGTAATAGACAATTCTTATCAATAATATTTTCAATTCAAGTATCAATTATCAATAAACTATCGAAAAAATTTGGTGCATTAAAATAAATATTTACCTCTCCACTCTTTTGCGCGGCACATTTGCATTATGATGACAAAAGGTGTTTTTTCATTTTCATAATGATGTTCCAACGCAATCAACTGATCAACATATCGGCCCCAAACAGTGCATTCCTTAACGTTCCCCCTAGAAAATGTGTTGACGAATTTTATAAATTCAAATATATTTTAAAAACAATAATAATAATAATTTATAATAATAATTTATTCTGTTTTGTTTTTAGATTAATAAATGTGTTTTTCCTCATGCATCGCAGAAAATAACACTATCTAAAATAAAGATATAAAAATTATCAAATTGGAAATTATAATGCTAAAAATCCTTACTCCGAATCCATAATAGAGAATACTATCATTTGAGTAGGAACTACCTTTACAACCTTCATTTGAATTGGTTGTATTGAAACAACCAATCCAATGATATCTACAAAAAAAAAGAAAAAAAAAAGGTATCATATTAAAATGTATAAAATTACAAATAGTTTAAATAATATAAAAAAATGACGTTAAAAAATATAAATTTATATCAAACTTACCAAACAACATAGCTTCCTCAATGTTACGAACATCCATCAAAGTGAGAAAGTTCCTAAACTCAAAATGAAACATAGGAAAATCCCAATTCCATTTGACAATCTTCGTTTGACCATGGATAATGATCCTCCATTTTCCTATCGTCGATTTGTAGATGCCGATATTACTCTCAACTTGATAATTTGTCAAGATATAAGCGCCACCTTCTTCAATAATGTCCTTGAATTTTTTGATATTGACAGGCCGAATAATGCCCGTAATGCGTAAACCCTAATAAAATTCAACCGCAATTATTAAATATATTAAATTAAATTAAATATTTAATAACCGAATTGAGAGTTAAATTAAAAAAATTTGTTAAGGAATATATTACCTCAGAATCATGAAAGACAATTTCAAGAACATTTCGGTAATTACGAACATCTTCAATCCGTTGGAACATCCTAATTATGCGTAACTTGATAGGTGGCTTTTTGGATCTGTCAATATCTTTGATGACTCCAAAATCCAAAGGCATTTTGAATGGTGTTGTAAAAGCTTGAAAAAATAGTGTTATTGTGGGATATGTATGTGTCGAATTTCTATCCCCCGTCTTGTGATGTTTATATAAGCATGTATATGGTATTTAAAAATGAATTAAATCTTGTGTTGATCCTTTGGAATAATTACAATCCGATTTACTTGCTATTTTTTAATTAATTAGTTGACTAATCCGATTTACTTGCTATAACAAATCCGACATATCGTACAGTACCAAATCCGAATAAATTGTGTTGATCCTTTGGAATAATTACAATCCGATTTACATGCTAATTTTTAATTAATGAGTTGGCAAATCCGATTTACTTGCAATAACAAATCCGATTTATCGTGCAGTACCCAAATCCGAATAAATCTTGTGTTGATCCTTTGGAATAATTACAATCCGATTTACTTGCTAATTTTTAATTAATGAGTTGGCAAATTCGATTTACTTGCTCAACACAATTTCGATTTATCGTGCATTACCCAAATCCGATTTACTTTCTGATTTTTAATCAATTAATTAACTATACGATTTACTTGCATAACTAATACAACAATTTTGATTAAATCTGTAATTACGGAATTTTCACAATTTGACGTGCAATTATTCATATTCATATTTAAACGGACCTTTTTCATCATTATCGCGAGCATTTTATAATGTTAACAAATTTAATTACAGATTTTTCAAAACAAAATTATAGCAATCCGCTGATATTGGACTTTAAAATTTCAACCAATTACTTGTTTTGATTATATTTGATTATATTGCCAACTTATCCAAAAATTACAAACAACATTTACGTAATTGGGGATAATTCAAAAAAATTTAATAGATAAGATTTGACCTTACAATCAAATAGCTAATTTGTTACAAAGAATCATGGATGCAATTAGATAAGATTTGATCAGGAAAATCTCAACCAATACTTAAGCAGATTACAATTTATGGGGCGTAATTACGTTTAAATAAATGAGTTCTTAATGTAGTAAGTCAAAAGATTATTTTTTAAAGTCAACCTTACTATTTTTGTATTTTTGCAACAACCTCTTTATATTACTATAGATTCAGAGAAATAAAACCACAAATATGCTTCTTTTTTCTAAATTTTCTCAACATAAACTCGGCCAAAAAAGAGATAACTCAAGGCTCAGCCTAAGTACCTTTCGTCAGAAAAAGGAAGAGGTAAAGATGCTCGGTTTCTCGGGCGTTGATTTGAAATGGGCTCCGGCTTTGCTGATAGGGGCGATAGGAAAATAGGGTCGGCTGAGTTTTGAACCTTACTTAAGTAGAGGAGGTTTACTGCTGAGATTGACGGCCGAAAAAATAGGGCAGAGGCGATAGGTTTTGAACCTTCACTTTTAAAAATTAAAATCCTTCCTTTTCTTCTTCTTCTTTTTTTTTTTTATGTATTTCAGCGTAAATCTTAANAGCGTAAGTCTTAAACAAAATCCTTTATTTTAGGATTGTATTATGGATTTTATTCTGGAGGATTAAAATAATCCTTTATTTTAGGATGCATCCGACTTTTTTTGTATTGAAATTAGAATCTGAATTGTTAATCAGCGTAAGTCTTAAACAAAATTCTCTATTTTAGGATTGTATTATGGATTTTATTATGGAAGATTGAACATAATCATTTATTTTAGGATGCATCCGATTTATTTATTTTTTTAGTTTCAAATTAGATTCCAAATTTTTTGGACGGCTCAGTAATTAATGTTGGATCGAGAGAAGGGAAAATATTAAAAAAAGGACTTTTTAGAAATTCAAACAATAAGGCGGCAAATGTTTCAAATAATATTAAAAAAAAAGAACTTTTTAAAATTTCAAACAATGCGGCTGCATTAATGGGATAAGGCCGCTTTTTGTGGTTGTACAATGTAGTGTGTGAAAAGGAGTGTGTGGAAAGGAATAATGGTGTAATTAATGCGTCATTAATGCAGCGTGTGAAAAGGAATTAAAACCTGCCATTTATGGAAAAGAATTAATGTAGACTTGCGTTTGACCATAAATTGACCTACTATTTTTGATAAATGTTAATTCTTATTATATATATAGATATTGATAATATATAGAATAGTGGGGTAGTGTTAAAGTTAATTGATTTTTTTATTTTTTAAGTTTATGTACAATCACACCCTAAACATTTTCATCTAATTTATTGTACTAAGCATTGCAATAATAGTAAATTATTGTGAGTATGTCCTTGGGTAAGTAAATTAACATAACTACGCAAGTGAAATAAAATTAATTAGACAACTCAATGACAGGTGCAATTTCGTTAAGTGAAATATCATTAGTTAATTAAGAAAAAATAATTACATTTTTTTTAATTTAGCATACTGTCAAAAATGTATGTTTGCTTGCTATAAAATTATTACTCAGACTTAAAACCTTTATTTGCCAAGTAACACTAATGATTTGCTGGACAAAGTGCAATTGGATGCAATTTCATTACATTTACTAAATCTAATATAATATTAATTCATTTTAACTAATCACATTTATACATTTTTTTAACTAAAAGTCAATCACAAATACATATTTATTTGTAAATTGTATTATTCATCTATTTATTTAATTGTTCTTTTATTTTGTTTCCCTATCACATCACTTTATATTAAAATAAGTTTTATTACTCCATCTATAGTTCCTTCATCAATAGAAAATTTTCAATCAAATGAAAATAAATCCACTCGCATATCTATTTCTTGTTGCAGAAAAAGGTTTGGAAGGAAATGCGTGAGAGAACATAATTTAGAAAGTGTAAGGTTATAATAAAAATATAATGGTTAAAGTTAATATAATGTTAAAAATAGTTAAAATAATAAATTGTAGCTAAAATAAAATTTTAACACATTTTAACTCAAAATCCAACTTAATTTTCTTTAATACTATCAACATAATTAAACAATATCAATCAATCATAATCACACGTCACGTCAATTTTAATTCACTATTCATTTACTCACATATTTTTAATTATCTAGCACATCACTTATATTTTTATATCACATCAATTTTAATAATTATATTTTAAATATTATTTAAATACAAACTCAAAAATCTCACTTAATTTTTCACTCAATCAACTTTATTCAAAATAAATTCACAGTAACCAATAACCTAATAAAAAATGCATACTCAATCAACTTTATTCAAAATAAATTCACAGTAACCAATAACCTAATAAAAAATGCATACTCATGTTATGAAATATCACATTTTTTTTACTTTATTTTTTTTAGAGCACAAAATTTCTACTTAAAATTATGCATTTTTGTTTAAAAAAGTATGCATTCCTAACAAAAATATTCCCTTCATGATCTTATTCATAATTTGAAAAGATGTGGAACTAAGACTAACCACTCTAAATAAGCTCAAACTCATTTGATTTGCATAATATTCCCTTCATTTGATTCAGCCACACACCAGTCACTATATTACCCACATTTTTCAAGCACAAATCGAAAATTGTTTGGAATACAACTGAAAAATAGTTTGTAGCGCGATTGAAGTTTAGTTGAACCGACTTCAATCTTGCTTGAAAATTAACCCATCCTCAAGTAACATTATAATAGGAGGTGAAAGGCTAAGCCAGACAAAAAATAACCAAATTTATACCTTAAGTTGTAGAGCAAATATCTTACAAGTTTTTTTCTTTTTGGTTGTTAATTGTTATGATCACTGGCCAAAAAGAGGATCCTCCCCCGAGCAATAAATAGCGAAGAGCTTATCGACATATATAGTGGCGAGCTTTCTGCATTGCTCGATTGCCTGAGGACGTAGTTTTTTCACTTCCGAGGCCGATTTCTTTAGCTTCAGCTCCTTATCGCCATCAAGGAAATACTCAGCCAGAAAAGTTCCACTTCAGAATAATCCACAAAC